CAAAGGCTTTGCTGAAGTCCAGGTAGACTCCCTCCCAGTGTCCCTTCCCCAGTCCCCCCTTCCCAAGCACTTGCCCTTTGGCCAGGAGGGCTGAAGGCACTTCTCAGGGGCCTCAGTTTGCTCTAGCAACTGGCCAATGAAGGGGGTTACTATAGTTTTGGTGCATGCAGCTTGGCAGAGACTGAATACACAGCGATCAAATACAGTGCGTGGTGTCCACACCTCAGGAGTCTAGGAAGGAGGTTTCTGTTCGGAGACCACTTCTGCACTTGTATGTCTCATGGAGCAGCTCAGGGGCATCACTTAGTTTTCTATAGCATCTCCTGGTATGATTATGTTTCCTACACTCCTACTGTAGCCATGAAGCAGGATCTGACTATGTATACAGATATTCATTATGATTTTTCTTTAACACTGATTTTTCCAGGATAAAAAATATTTCTATCTGAAGGTGTAATTCACTTATTTAATTTCTTTTTTCAAACATGAAATACCAAAAAGGTAATTATCCCTTATCTCTAAAGCAGGTAACTAATAACACTGCATTCCAGGTGGTTGGTGTAAGGTCAACATATTGACTGTAGGTCTGCACTGGAAGCTGCAGGAGTAGTTATAATAAAACTGTTTTCCAGTTTGTTGATACAAATTAACCTTCTTGTCATAAAGGCCACCATACAATTCAGACAGCATTTGCAATTTTATGATTTGGACAAAAGGTTAGTATTTTTATTACATTAAAAGCATTCATTAACATGTCATGGGTGTAAACAGTATTGCAAATAAATATCTTGGCTCAGTAGAGATGCTGCTGCATACACATTTGCAGTCTAACCATCATTCATTTATCTTCGGTGTTTTCATAGATCTGCTTGGATTAAAGCCTGCTCCCAATAATGGCACCCATGGAAGTTTAAATCACCTACTGAGAGCCAATGTTTATAAGCCAATGGTGCCAGATGAAGTTGCTAAACCACTCTATCCTGTCGCTCTACCTTCTGCATCAGATTTTGATATAGGGTGTACATGTGATGATAAGGTAGGTGTTTAGGATCTGCTGATGCTTCCCCTATTAGCAGTAGTTGCCTAGTAAAGTTGTAGCCATTTTATCTCTTTTGAGAGGGTTTGAGCTGTAAGAATTACCCAGATCCTTCCTGTGAAGTGTTTGTGTCCTTTTGGAACAATCACGGCTTTTTGTAAATAGGAAACAAAAAAATGTTTTAGTGTTTTATAGCATTAGTTTTGTTTTGCTGGATGCCTAGTAAAATGAGATGTCAGAATGCTCCAGTGATCCTAATCTTGTTTCTTTTTTCTATTCTTGAGAAGAACAAGTTGGATGAACTCAACAAGCGCTTTCATGTCAAGGGAACGGAAGGTAAGATCCTGGTGTCTCGGTTAATAAAAGCTATTCTGGGTTTTTTTTTGCAAGCTAGTTTGCATCATTGATACCAGACAAACTCCTGCTTTGGTGTAGTTAATATGTAGTAAAACATCTTTTCAAGTAACTGTCAAAATAGCACATAGACATGTGCGCAAGATTAAGTGCTGCTAGTATGAGGACGTGCACACTATCTTTTGCTGTAATCAGGACCAAAGTATTGCTCAAAGCGATAGGAGTTTTAGCTCTTCCTTTCCATCACTGGTTTAGTCTCCGCCGTGGAAGCAGAGAGATGAGGAAAGGAGAGGGAGCATGAGGAGGTGCTTCACTCAACCACAAGTGATAAATGGGGTAAAAAACATGGACCGGATCTGCACACTGTGTTTTACCACTATTGTTCAGGCTTAGGTTTCACCAGGTCAGTGTTAGAAAGGATGGTACAGCTGCTTTGACAAGCCCTGACTGGGTCTTTAATGCTTGGCTTTTAGGGTGCAGATTATCCACTGAAACAAGTGCAGAAATGTTCTGTTGGTTCAGGGATGCTCAGAGCAATTCTGTCCCTCATCAGCGTTCAGGTCAGTGTTACTCCCAGGAGAAAGCATCCCCTGCCCTCCTGGACACTAGTGCCTGCACCCTCCCTGCTGTATGCCAGCGCTGACTTTTGTGTGCCTGCACTCTCAGCCGCATCAGGGCTGTGGACCAGGTTAAAATGTAGCAATAGGACCAGAGGGGAGGGGATGGGAACTGCTTTTCTGAGCAACAATACTGACTGAAAGGCACACCAAAACAGAGCTTTCTTTCTCACAGCTGTGATCCGGAAATTCACAGCATTCCCCTCACCATAACAATGGTCCAAATTAGCAAATTCTGAAGCTTTGAGTTTAGACATGGACTTTTGAGATACCTCAAATTGTATTGCTCAGCTGACTAAGGAGATTTTTAATTCCCTTGTGAAGCTACTTCTTCGGTTTTTCTGTTGTGAACAGGCGATGCAACCTATCTTCTGGTTTCTAGAGGTGAAATTATTCCTTTCCTTTGTGAGTTAAATTGCCTTTCTGCAGCTTTCATCTTGTTAAACTGATTTTTCCAATTAGTGAATAGCTACTCCTTGCTGTGGCAATTTCTGGCATCAGGAAAAAACACCCTTACCGTTGCACTCCTAGATATCTCAACATCTTTATTTTGGTTTAAGGTTTTGATGCTTCTTCACTTCATAGTATAAAAATAGTATTTTTGATGTATTTTAAGATATAAGCATTTAAACCAATTTCACTTGCTAATTTGTAAGTTGTCTGTTAAATGGAATGAAGTGCCCATTATTTAAACAACAAGCAGTTCTGCTACATGCAAGTTATTTTGTTGTATTTTATGACAAGCTGTAGCACCTCTTCAGGGATCTTCCTGCATTTAGTAATTCTCTTCTCTCGCATGGTGCACCATGCATATTTAGCTGATGTTGTTATTCGCATGCGGAAGAAAAAGATTCCTTCAGCTTCTCTTGAATAAAGCAAGTTTATCATCTTTGTCGTTAGACAAGGCTTTTCCTGCTTTTCTTTCTTGTGTCCTATAAAAATATCCTCTGTTTGGACACAAACACTAATAAAACATGCCCTTTTCTTTCAGGTTAAATGCCTATCTGTGAACAGTGTTAGGCCTCTTTCCTTGTTTCTATGTTTTGATTTCCAAAAGAGAGCTAAGCCTGTTTGCCAAATGGTTATCAAAATCAATGAACTGTGCAGCACAATGCAAGATTAGCCAGGAAATTTATTTTTTGTCCATTTCTTCAAAAAAGTTTTTATCTTTTTATAAGCAAGCTTATCACAGGTACCTAGTGATGTTTAACCATAACATATCTCCAAGACAGAAGAAAACCAAGTTTTGCAGAGTTGGAGGTGTTTTTTTGTAGCCAAAGTTAGGAAAAGGGGTTTTTTGTTTGTTCGTTTTTTTTATATTACTGACAGAAAATAGCATATTGGTATTCGGAACATCATCTGTATCAGAACTAGTGTGGCCAGCAGGAGTAGGGAGGTGATCGTGCCCCTGTACTCAGCCCTGGTGAGGCCGCACCTCGAATCCTGTGTTCAGTTTTGGGCCCCTCACTACAAGAAGGACATTGAGGTGCTGGAGCGTGTCCAGAGAAGGGCAATGAAGCTGGTGAAGGGTCTAGAGAACAAGTCTTACGAGGAGCGGCTGAGGGAACTGGGACTGTTTAGCCTGGAGAAGAGGAGGCTGAGGGGAGACCTCATCGCGCTCTACAACTACCTGGAAGGAGGTTGTAGCGAAGTGGGTGTTGGTCTCTTCTCCCAAGTAACAAGCGATAGGATGAGAGGAAATGGCCTCAAGTTGCGCCAAGGGCGGTTTAGATTGGACAGTAGGAAAAATTTCTTTACTGAAAGAGTGGTCAGGCCTTGGAACAGGCTGCCCAGGGAAGTGGTAGAGTCGCCATCCCTGGAAGTATTTAAAAGACGTGTAGATGAGGTGCTTAGGGACATGATTTAGTGGGCATGGTGGTGTTGGGTTGACGGTTGGACTTGATGATCTTAGAGGTCTTTTCCAACCTTAATGATTCTATGATTCTATGATTCTGTGATCTGTATCAGCCAAGTGGAAAAAAAAACTCTTTTATGAGTAAGCACCTTTGCCTCCCTTATGTGAGGAACTTCACAAAAAACATAGGAAGGACACAAAGTCTGGAGAAGAGTGGCAGGAGTGACAGGACAGGGGTAGATGTAAAGGTACAAAAAAAAAATGCTTTTCACCTCATGTGTGACTGAAATGCAGACATGAAGATCCTTGTGGGGTCTCCTGTGTTTGGAGAAACACTCTCTCTCCGTGCTGTAACCCCAACAAGTTTTCAAGTGCAGAAGGGACTTGTAACCTCAAAGCAGGTTGTGAGCCTGAAAAGGGGATCCAAACCAAAACTGTTTGAAGAACTACTGCTCTCTTTGTTACAAGATTTTCTTAGCAGTTATTCAGGGTCAGTATCCCATTAAGGATCACTGTAAAATCAGCATGTGTTGGAAAGCCAACCCTTTTTTTTTTTCATCTTTAATGTTTTCAGTAACAAATGTAAATGTAATTTCTTCTGATCTGTAGAGAAGCATCTCTTATACGGGCGCCCTGCAGTACTGTACCGCACAAAATACAATATCTTGCATCATCATGACTTTGAAAGTGGCTACAGCGAAACATTCCTGATGCCTCTCTGGACATCCTACACTATTTCCAAACAGGTCAGTGCTGTCTTTGCTCTTGGACAGTGCTTAAAAAATCCTGGGGAAATCCGTCCGGTACCTTTATTCCTGAAGTCCTAAAACCCCCTGTCCCAAGTAGAGTTTCCCACAAGAAATTAGTCAAATACCATTGAAAACAATGCCAAAATATTTTTTTTCGTTCAGGAGAAAAGAGTTTTAAGGCAGAAGGGCTGTATATTTCTTTTCCTGTTTTCATTTTCTTTCTAAGATTTTCTCAATGGGGGTTTGTTTTATTATGATAGAATAATCAGCAACTTCATTTGAATTATTTCCCATGGTGACTTCTGCTACCTGAAGGAGGGGCTCTGTGGCAGGTACAGGAGCAGGACTTGGTTGTACAGCTCCGTGGTTTATTTTATTCCACACAAGGCCTTCCATCCAATCTGTTGACTATATGAAATTATTTTCTTTTAGCTATAAATGCTGGAATTACCTTTCTTGTCATTTCTGTCTATGTTCCTTAATGCAGGCAGAGGTATCGGGTGTCCCAGAGCACCTGGCCAGCTGTGTGAGACCTGACCTCCGCATTTCTCCAGGAAACAGCCAGAGCTGTACAGCCTACAGAGGTGACAGACAGCTCTCCTATGGCTTCCTTTTCCCTCCTCGTAAGTTCAGATAGCTTTTTAATACCTACAAGTTTTGTAATTTTCTTTTTTGTTAGGGAAAACCTTAGGTATAAAAAAACCCGTCACCAGATATAAACAGACTAAGCGGTTTTTTTGAGATTTTTGGGAAAGAATATAGGTAGGAATTTCCCCCCCGCTCTGGGATGATTTCTTCCTCCATGATGTCTTCTCCTCAGAGGAGCTGTTCCTGCACTGGTGTCACATATAAGGCCCAATGGGATGGATGCATTATTCTTGCTACACTTGCAGAACACCAAGGGCCCAATGCCACAAGTTGCCATAGCGGCTGTAGTCCCTCAGCTCCCCAAGAGATGCTCCAAACTGGTGCCCAGCTTCATGCACTGAAACAGTGCTAATAGCTAATAAAAATAAAGGTAAACAAAGAGTTGCACAAAGCAGGATCACAAGCTAGAAGACAATCTTCAAAAGCTGGCCCTTTAAAGCCAGTGGATAGATACCAACTTATATGAACTGGGAATCTAGTCAGAGTTTTTAATTTTGAATTCAAACAGCAGAACGATAAACATATATTTAATTTATAAATTCATATTAGACTCTTGCATACTGTAAAAAAATTTTAACATCCTATAGAAATAGTGCTGGTAGAAAACCTGTGTGAATGAGTGTCCTGGATTCTCCTGTTGCAGTTACATTGATTCAGTCTTAGAGCAATGAACTTCTGGGATTAGTAAATGTTCAAGGGACACAACTGTCTCACAGTTGTGAACTTCATTGCTCTGCCTTTGTCACTCCATGGCTGAAATATTTTATGGTGGATTTCTAATATGGAATAACTGGTGCAGAGGCTTGATCAGAACTAGAAGATAATCCCGCACTTCTCTCCCTGGAAATTGCTTGCCTCTTTTGTAAAAGCCTGCAGAGCAGCTCTCTGACTTTTGAAACTGCAAAAATAGATGAGCTATAAAAATATTTTGAATGGGTTGACAGTTGAAGCAAAGATAAAATTCTTACTTTCCATGTTCAGCTGTCACATTAAAGATGAATTTTACGCATATAATGTGCACTTCTGAATATAACATTCAGATTGCTGTTCAGATGACAGTATTTCCTTTGGTTAATCCCTGAAGCCATTTTTCAAAACATTTTTATGTTCCTTGAATTTCTGATTTTTCATCTTATTAATATTTTTCTGTTTTATTGTTTTCAGAATTAAGTTCCTCTGCAGAAGCAAAATATGATGCTTTTCTAATAACGAATATCATTCCAATGTATCCTGCCTTCAAAAGTAAGTGCCCTTTCCACGGCTTTACTTCTCTTTCCCAACATTTTTTTTTTCTTTTTATTAATGATATGTGTGTTGGGCTATGGAATGAATTGATGGGAGAAGTTTAGAACATAAAGTTCAGTTACCTGTAGCGAACAGGTAATAGATGTGGGTACCTGGATAGTTCTAGGTATGGGCAGGCAAAATACCACAAGAAAGGTTTAAGCTTTAAGAAAGGTTTATTTTCCTTGCTGCTTGGCTAAGATAAGAGCACAGACATGCTGTAGTTCAGAAATTTTTCTTCAAGCCACAGTAATTCAGTTTGTGTAAGACCATTCAGATTTTCTTGTCTGTAGCCCAAACTAGTGCAGAATGTACTTAGGCAACATTTTTACTTCTCAACTGGAGCCACCTGGGAGTGTGCACAAGCCTGGGAGTGTGCACTTAGCATGTTGCTGTATTTCAGGGACAAGTGATTATTTTTTATTTTCTATCCATGCCCTTAGAAGGAGACCAGACATATTTATTACCTATAAAGAAAAAGGAAGAGGAAACCGATTTACGGAAAATGAGGAATGACTTAAACCTGGCTGAGACTTTCAGCACTGCAGGGATACAGTATTAACATTTCTTTTGTCTGCACATCCCTTTTCTCTCTAGTTTTGCCAAGAGGTAGGAAAACCATCAGACTATTCTGGTGGCACTTTTGGCTCGGCAGGAATTGAGAAGCCTTGGAAGGATCTCAAGAGCCTGTTCTTGTGAGATTTCCAATTCAGATTTTAGGCCAGAGAGGTTTGGATAAACATCAAAGCCTATGGGAGGCGTTTTCGTTTTAACCAGAAAAGAGTGTTTTTAACTGAAAAACATCTGAGTAGGAACAAGTGGTGATGTTTGCTGGAAATTTGAGCAAAGGCACTTAACTGATTACAGAGTGCAAAATTACTGGGGATTTCCCACTCTCAAATCACTTCATAATAATGCTCTTTATGCTAATGTTAGTCTAAGCAAATTAGCTGAGATGCTAATTACAGGAGAACAACCCGCCACCAGCAGCTCATTTTGTCTAGTGGCCTTCCTCTTCATCACAAGTGGGTGAAGGATTCCCTGGGAGCAAATGCTGGAACTAATATCATTCCTGGGGAGTTACGAACCACTACATGTGTGCAGGCTACAATGTAGAGAGCTATTATAAGCTTATTATACAGAGCTTTTTCCACAACAGGGAACATACAAGGTGGCAGTTTTATGCTATGCTGGCTTTGGTGGCAGTGCTAGCTGCAGAGGCCCCCTCCTCTGCTTTTTTTTTTTTTAATTCACTGTCCCATCCCATCCCCCCAGGCAATAATTCTGTGTCCATCTTTTCTGTAGTAAGTCTGGCTTAAGTAGCTCTCGCTTTGTTGGAGCTGCAAGACGAGGCCCCTGGGCTGGCCCCCCATTGCACTGGCGTTGCTGTCCATGTGGCTGCAGTGGGAACCCAAGTGGGGAACTGATTCATCTGGAAAACTCAAGGCGGGGGGCAGGGAGGGGGGGAGGGAAGCTTTCCTTTTTGGGCTATTTTAATTGTTAAGGCTGACACACTGGAGGAGCGAGCAGCTGGAGGAGTGGTACTGCCAAGTGGTTACCGCAGCTGAGGTTCTTGTTAGACCATTGCTTGTGGGGCCCTCTGCATCAGTCCGAGCAGGGAGTTCATCTGGCACTGAGCAGTCTTAGGACAAGGTGTACTGGGGAACTTGCTGAGGCTGGCGTTGCCATCAGCGCCAGAGAACCATGAACTTAACAGTCTGTGCTGGCAAGACAGAAGTTAAACATTTACAAGTTTGAGATGTGTTGTTTACACACACTTCTGTTAGTGTTAAAATAAAAAAGAAAAAAGAAGGAAAAGAGTGATGTAACTGGAGATTCCAGTGTGTTTTCCATCTCTGCAAGCATCTTAACTTGTTAATGTTGAGGAGGGCGTGGTGGGAGAGTGTCATGCTCTTCCCAAATGTTGCTGTAATGAGATGCCATGCCATAATTTGGTCATTCTTGACGGCACCTAATTTAAAACTTAGACGTTTTGTATCCAAGGAGAATTTAACTGGAAGAATATGACCTTTGTATTTCCCTTCCTTTTAAAATGTTTGGGTTTTGCTTTTAATCACGATGCTGTTTCCTTTCTAGAATTAAAAAAACCACAGCACCATTCCGTGTAACTAGATAAGAAACACAAAGGAAGTGTTTACAGGGACATCAAAAGCGTGTGAATAGCTGTTTCTACTGCTTGGTGAAGGAACAGCAAGCTCTCTGTGCAATGTCTATGGCAATGCCAGCCTGAGAGTGGCACTGTGCATGTCCTTTATCACTGGTTGGGGAAAAAAATCAACAGAGAACAAAGAAGTCTGAATAGGCTTTATTGACCAAACTGAATGAAGCTGCAGTAAATCTGTAATGCTTAGTCTTTGATTTCTCCTACCATCCCATTGTATGAATGATGTCCACTGGATTTTTATTTTCAGGAAAAGAAATAATTGTTTATAATCTTGACATGTTTTGACTTATCCAAATTTTGGTGTGTTTTATTTTTTGTTGTTTTTTTTTTCCCTCACAGAGGTATGGAACTATTTCCAAAGGGTTTTGGTGAAGAGATATGCCACTGAACGAAATGGAGTCAATGTTATAAGTGGACCAGTCTTTGACTATGACTATGATGGTTTACATGACACACCTGACAAAATAAAACAGTAAGAGTTTGTCTTTAAATTGGTTTGCTGTTGCTTCTCTTAATGATGGCTTTATCTTAAACAATTCATTATCTGCTCATTATTCGATTTTCATTATTCTAGCTCTTTCTAAAATTATTGTTCATCAACGAATGATGAACACACACTGAATGCCCCTGTAGGTAGGACAGTGGTAAAAATAAGGAAATGGCAATTCAGCAGGTAACTGTTCACCTTGACTTTGAAATTAAGTGTTCATTCATCCTTGAGACAAAGCTGAATTATGTTCCAAATAATCTATTTTCTCTAAAGTTCTTCAGAACGTAAGAGTTGACAAGTGGATACCAGAGCAAACCATAGCAGTGCTATTGAGTTAGATACTCAAGCCTTTCGTTAATTCTGTAATGCTTTCTGTGTCCCTGAACTGAAGAAGCCTTTCAGCCCTGGCGTGTAGTATTTCTATAGCGCAGTATCAAAACATGAGCTAATTGAATGCTCATTTTCAGATAGAGTTTAGGAATCAAACACATTTCAACAATGTACATGTGTCCTCACATGTAGGGGAGGAAAGACCATGGTGTTTGTGTAACCTTCTTCCAAAGAGGCTTACCCTTTGTGGATAAATGTTTGCTTTATTCTCCCAGGTTTGTGGAAGGCAGCGCCATCCCCGTTCCTACTCATTACTATACCATCATAACCAGCTGCTTAGATTTCACTCAGCCAGCTGACAAGTGTGATGGACCACTCTCCGTTCTCTCATACATCCTTCCCCACCGACCTGACAATGATGAGAGCTGTAATGTAAGTTCTGCTGCACTACTATAGCCCTGTGGTAAATATATCCCTGGGACATGTGAAACCCCATTACTGTTAGATGCTCAATGATGTCTTAAATGAAAGCACAGGGTAGTGACTCTATTAAGTGTCATATTCAGCTCACTAGGATAAAAGCACTCCTCTGTGATACCAGAGAAAATACAGAACTATTACTGCAACTGAAATTGTCTGGAAGAACTGACATACAGTAGGTTGGCAGTAAACAACCTGTAGGCTTCTACGTTTTGGCAGACAATGCCAGTGTAACCTTACAGCAGATTGGGGGGAGGTTGTGTGCATAAACATATTGTGCTGGCAGCCAGCCTGATGTTTTTATTGAGGTCTGTTTCCATATGGAAGTACAATATAGTCTGTCTGCTATGGCAGTCTGGGTGCATCAGACAGCATGATTACATCCAACCCACACAGTATTAAAACTATATGCTAAAACCTGCCGAGGGTAGAGTGCCAGCTCTTGCCGTTTCCAGAACATGTCTTGATTCAAGGGAAAAGTTTGGATTCTTATTAACAGAGGTGACCAGACACCCTCCTGGTTCCTTTCCTATCTTTCTTTAGGATGCAAGATTCTATAGTGTAAGAATCTTGGTGAAGTACAAAGGCTTCAGTCTGGTCAGCACTGCAGAAAGTAACATGCACACTTGGCAGCCGATCGTGTGGCAGAAGAGTGGTCGGGTCCCCACGGGCTCCGGCACTCTGCAAGGACAGCAGTCCTCCCAGGCAGCTGTATTTAGACTTGTCCTTCCGTCTGAACTTGTTCTCCCATTACACAGCTGTGTGGATTCCTGCACACAGACTCTTCACTATAGGCTGCCAGGAGACCGTTTCCTGAATGAACGCATTAATGTTATGAATTTTATATTGGCATAAAAAGTTAAGACTTCTATTCCAGCTACAGGCAGAAATAGTCATTCCAACTCTGTACACAATTCACCTGGAACACTGCCTCTTTCTCATTCATCAAACATCGCCTGCTTTCAAGTCCCTCTTTTTAAAACCACGCTTTCGGAGCAGCATCTTTCTTTCTTGAGCAGGTCTGGCTTCCCCCTGTTTAGACTCTTAACTGCTTTGGGGAGAGTTATCTTCCACCAGAAGTCTCAAAAAGTCCTGCTTATATTTCATTGTGGTTTTTCTCTGGACTGCTTTCCTCTGAATCAAGGTCCAGTTGGTGATACGGAAGTTACTAATCTGGCAGTTATTAGTGCCTCTGTCCTTGTATCTCTGCCCATATGTAACTTTATGACAAAGTAAATTTTTTTTTTCTCCCTATATTGCGTGTCATGGTACTCTTAAACTGCTGAAATCTTTTTTATGAACTATTTAGAATAACAGCCTCTTTTACTCTTTGATTTCTTGTATTCTAACCCAATTCTTTTCTCTGTAGGTCATGCTACTTACGGTGTATGTATTTACAGTTCTGGGAGGAACTTCAGTGCTACTACAAAGTCATTAGCAGATATTGGTCTATGCTTTTAACATAGCAAAGAACCACTCCAAAAATATTTAAATGTAGCTCTTGAATGAAAATACAGTCAGGCAAAATTTTGTCATTCAAATACAGTGTCAGTCTTACTTTTGCACATGGTGTTCCATCTGATTTTTTCAAAGAAGTGATTGTGTAAAACCTCACATACTTCATGGATGAAATGCATGGGATAATATAAGAATTTTTCCTTAACCTCTCCACAGCTTTCTTTTAAGATCTGAAGAAATATTAGCTTTCCCCCGACTCTGCTCTTGTTGCACACACTTTCTCTCTCTTCACACGGCTGTTGGAGAACACCACTACTCTTCTCATTTGAATTTGTTCCATTTCCAAACTGTGTTTATTCTCGGTGAGGTTATACCCATTTATTCTTGTGTCAACATTTTTCTATGGCTTAAATAGCCCTTCACTGGACTTCTTTGGGATTTACCTTACTGGTGATTTATGATGATTCTCAAGGCATATACTTCTCTCTATTCATGAGAGACCCAGGATCTTTTTTGCTCTTCTTGTAAGAGAGGATGAGCGTTTTAGTAGCCTTCCTATGCATCAGTTCCAGACTGATTTTTTTTTTCTTCCCCCCCCGGAACATGAATGAGATAAAGTACTCCAGCTGAGGTCTCAGAATGAAAATGGTTAAATGGTTTTCTTTTGACTGGACACAACTTCTCTGATACTATCTAGGATTTGCTTTTTCCATAGCTGTGTTGTAATGATGGCTCACAATCATACACAACCAGTACACCCAGGTGCTTCTCTTCTATCTGCTGTTTCACCTGAGAAGCTCCCAGCTTAGCAGAAATTTTTGTCGTCAATGTGGATAACCCAATTTCATACTATACCAGGGACTCCCCCATCTGCATCCTCCAGTATGCTATTCCAGTCTTCCTCTGCATTGACAGGAGCTCCCAATTGTGTTTTGGTTTTTTTTGTTTTGTTTTTTACTAGCACACTAATGACCTTGGCACAAAAAGAATGTATGAAAACATTACACAAAATCCTTTCCAAGACCAAAGCTGGAGGAATCCTACTAGAAAATTCCTCCAGGCCACTATTTTCCCTTTCAGCCAAACTTTTAAATTTCTCTTTTAATAAGCGAGTCCTTCACCCACCTGTCTACACTCTGATCATGTTCAGCTTTCCAGCTAATAATGTGATATCCAGAAAGATTCTTTTGTCCAGAATATCTGGTATCTTTTCCAGTGGATTTTAGGTTGGCCTCCTAATTGATTGCCTATCTATTTACCTCCTTGGTTTCAATTGTTATTTTTTCCTTCTAAGATTCACTATACTATTGAGGTGAGACTAACCAGCACAGATGGAGAAAACTATCATTTTAAATGTATACAGTTCATTCGTTGTTCTGCAATAATGTAATACACGTTAGCTGATCACTGTGTTTAAAATCCCTGCTGCTAAAATGGGCCAGTTTTGGAATAGAAAAACTAAAACCTGGATCAGTTCATTGATTTTCTGGGGTCATGCAAATGCTGTCTTGCTGGACTTGGTTTAAAACAACCTCATAGTCCTGTGATTTATTCATATTGCAGATCTTTTGCAAACTCTTAGGAATCCTCCTTGTATTCAAAAAAGTGAGCTTTGTAGCAATGGGACTTCCCTCTGAGCTCTGTAAAATGTAGATTTCCAACTCGGAGGGCTTGAAGACAACAAAAATGTCACACAAAAATTTGCACTAATAACCCTGTTAAGGCCCATTTGCAGACTAGCAACCTGATCACCAGGCTGAAGGCTAAGCAGAGGGCTTCCTGCAGCTGTGTGCTGCCAGGCTGTGTTCCTGGAGCATGGCACCGCAGGTGAAGGGGAGTGAGCAGGGCATGCTCCCTTATCTTCCCTCTTAATTTGCATCTTTCTTTTCATGTTCCAGACCTGGTTTTGGGCCTCAGGTTGCTGGCAACATGGAGAGGAAAGTCGGTTTGGAGCTGAAAAGCTTCAAAACAGACAAGTGCTGACTGGGTCATGGACATTTGCTTTATAGCAGCTGGCTGGTACTTCGTGTCCTCTCTGTGCAAACGATCACACTCACCCTCCTGGCCTTTGCGGGGTGACCCACAGCCTGGTCTGTGGCACATCTACTGCATTGGGTAGGCTCTGAAATTGCTGAAGCTTAGTTTTGAACAGTGAGAGGATCACTTTGTAGGAGGACCTCACTGAGACAGTCAGAAAGGAGCTCATTTTCAGGATTAAGCCCAGAAATAGTTTTATCAGCAAGATTTCCAAGACACATGGGGTCCAAATGTCCGGAGGCACAACCCTCCTTTCCTAACTTGCTTCCCCAACAACGGTGTAGACATTCCAGCCTGAGAGGCCAAAGGGGGAAAAGTCCTGTTTGCTCTGTCCTTTTCCCACGTCTGCTCCCTACTGTGCAGTCCCTGGGGCTGCCTACAATGATCATGGGACATCTCGCTGGGCTGGTTAACACACTCAAACAGCCAGTAACTGCAGTCTTTTGCAGGGCTGATTTTCTGATGTGTTAATGAGTTACATTAGTTTGTGGATGGCTCCAACAAGCGCTGGAGCTGGCACAAGGCATGCAGCAGGAGCAGTCCCCTAAGAGAGCTTACACCCACACAACCCGACCCTGACCACTCTGACAGCATCACTTACCTGATTTTTTTTTTTTTTTTTTTTTGTATTGGAAAGTGCTTAGTGAAAGTCTTTTTTCTATCAGTGAATAATATGTATGTTCTAATAACTGGATTTTACAGGTACCAACATAAATGATAGTCCCAACTGTGTAATGAATCATAATGGTCTCTTAACAGTAAAGTGGAAAGATTAAAATAATATTGTGTTGGATGAGGTGCTGGTCAGATGAGAATAATGTGTAGGGGTAGGGTTCAAAGCTAAACAGCCTAGAGTTTGGGCTTTGGTAATACACAACTGATTAATATGGAGCTCTTTCCATGAGATAAAAAAATATGTAGGGACCAATGAATCTTCTAAAAGCATATGGCTGTTATTCTGAAACACCTGCAACATGGGGCCAGCTTTTCCCAGATGACTATGGTCATTGTCTCAAGCCCATATTAAAATGGGTCATGAAATAAAACTGTAGGAATCATCTTGCATGTGAAGTTTCAAAACTGTTTTCTTGGAACTTGTTTACCTCAGTCATTCCTGAATAGGGCACAGAGATTGTTCAAATGGACCCAATCTTCAAAAAAGTTGCTTTTGCTTTCAGAGCTGACTTTTGACATGACATGTTATGGTTTGTGGTTTGTTTTTTTGTTTGGTTTTTTTTTTTTTTTTTTTACATTTCAGAGCTTGGAGGATGAATCAAAGTGGGTTGAAGATCTTCTTAAGATGCACACTGCGCGTGTGCGTGACATCGAACAGCTCACAAGCTTGGACTTCTTCCGAAAGACCAGTCGCAGCTATACAGAAATCCTCTCCCTAAAGACATACCTGCATACGTTTGAAAGTGAAATTTAGCTTTCTAACCTTACTCAGTGCATCCTTTTATCAACTGGTGTATATTTTTATATTGTTTTTATATTTATTAATTTGAAACCAGGACATTAAAAATATTAGTATTTTAATCCTGTATCAAATCTTAAATATTAAAACCTTGTGTCATTTGTTTTGTTTCTCTAATGTTTAATATAGGTATGTCTCTTGGTTTATTTAGTAGCGCTTGTAATACTGCAGCTTGAGTCCTTACGCTGAGCTTTTAAGTGGTGCTGTAGGATTTGATACGTGCATCAAGGAAATATTAATTTCCCATGCTCCTTTACAACACTTATAGTCCTGTACTGTGTATCAAAATACTGAACATGTAAAATTACATTCATTTACTGTTAACTATGTGACAGACATATTTAAACCCTATAGACAAATAGCATCTTAAATATAATAAACCACACATTCAGTTTTTTTAATGTGTTTTGATTTCCTTCCAGAGGAACTTGCGGGCAGCTGAGTGCTGCCAGATCTCTCTTATTCACTGGGCAGAGCCCTTCTCAAGAGCTTAGGTTTGCTGGTAAGAGGACTGCCAGGAGCCCAGGTGCCCTGCCCTGGTACTCAGCAGTGAGACCATAAAACAGACACCCACAGTAGTCATTGCTGGTTAGGTTTTGCCATAAGGCCAAAGCTGGGAGAGGAGGTCATAAGCTACCAGGGCTACCCCACGCTTGAGGCCACTTGGCCCTGCTCTGGAGCCATGGGGAGGATGTGAGGTGACAACATCCACTGTCACCAGTCAGGCTGTGTCACACCCCTTTTCCACCACCGCTGCTCTGGGCTGGTTCCTGGGAGTACCTGTTCCATCATCTTTTGCTTTGACTTTGAGATAAGGAAGCTGAGATAAGGCAGATGTTGATGGAGGTGACATTGCTAAACACCCAGCAGTGGGCTTTTACCTGGAAGGAGAAAATCTGATTTTCATCATCTTGTTCTAATGGCCAGAATTTGCAGAGTTTTCCCCTAATCTGAGGCCGAGTCCGAGGTTTAATGCCAGTCCTCATTCTCAGAGGAAGCTCCTTGGCCTGACTGCACTATGTAACTTCTGGTACTGTGAACCCCATACAGAGCATGTGATTTACAACTTACCTGGTCAAGTGGGTCAAGTCTCTGTCGGCTACGTTGTGCAGTCACAGTCTCATAATCCTGGCAAGCCGCTACAAGTGACACTGATGGCACAGTCCTAAGCCAATGGAAGAGACACTGTTGTATACTGCTATTTAGATAATGGCCTGATCTTGCTTGGACAGCTTTTATAGAAGGTATATGGTATGGATCATTAGCATTAATGTAGTTAGATGATGTAAAAGATAAATTATTGTTTAGAATGCCTCTTGAGGCTGAACCCACTAGTGGCATTATTACTAAGCCATCGTTTATAGATTTCCCTCTCTCTACCAAAGTGGTTTGTGTCTATTTTCTCTTTGAGGGTTGCAAATGCTGGAGGGAAGCGGGAAGGGCTGGAAAGCATCTCAGCCATGTATACAGATGAGTAGCCAGATCTCCTACGTAAAATTAATCTGGCACAATTTTAGCAATTTGCATCCCTGAAGCATCCATCTAAGAGAAAGTAGTAAACCGGAATTAATCATGTTAACACTGGTGATAAAGTTCTTGTGAGCAGTAGACAAAATTTTATTATTCTAGGTGCCAAATTCTGTTTAAATTAGAAGAGCACAAAACTTGAATGCTTTAAAATCCCCCCCAGATGTTAGGATGGAAATTCTAATAACTGCACAAAGCTCTGGGAAACATCCTATTCTTGCAACTTAAAAATTGTCTCTTGTGGTTGTCTGGTAGCACAGAAATATTTTTCTGTAAGCTTTTGGCAGGGCTTCCTGCCATGATAAACTTTACGTTCTTACATGTGCTACAAAGGGTATTTCCTCTGGATTTAAAACAGTTTTCAGTTAAGACCTAATTCCTCCAACACCGACTTCAATGATGATATAATGTGGCTTTTCACAAACTAAACTAAAGACCACCACTACCATGTTGCTTTGACATTCATCCATTGCTTTGTTTGTTTGTTTTTTTAACGCAATCTAACTAATGATAGAATTCTTTTATTTTCTTCCAAAATAAGATTATATTTATACCAAAGGAACATTTAAGCTCTGAAAGATACTACTGTTCTTATATTCAGAGAAGTTTGCTTTTGAAATACAGCAAGTGGCGATTGTTGGGAGAGATGGTTTAACTCTATCTTTGTTTCACTAAAGATTGACGATTAGTGTGTAGGGAAATGTGATTTTTTTACTCAGTTGCTTGCTGTGAGGATAAATATTAGTAATTTACTTCTGTTCTACTTACTTCTCTTCAGCCCTTGGCCCCGCGCTCTTGTATGGTATTACTGTTTTATTTTACCGTGCTGGCAGAAGTAGCTGTGTTGGGGAATGTTTGTGGTGACTTCTGTGAATTGCATGGGGTTTTTCTCCTGTTGAAAGGTGCCTTATCAACACAAAACCTCCAGTGCAAAGCTAAAGCCTTGTAAATCCCTCTAAGCAACATGACCTCTGCAGGAACAACAGACATTTTAAAGGAAACTTGTAATTTCCCTTTGGTATTCATCAGGGTGAATGTTAGCTTAGGGCAGAATGTAGGAAGGAACCCCTCTGCTTTCCATTCCTGTTAGACCATTTTGAAAATATGAAATACCACTTGCTTCTGTTACAAGTTTCCTTTTCTTGATATTACTCTGGCTTCTGCAAGAGGTCCATTGAGGAGAACAAGCACTGAATTTTTCTATTGAGCAAACACTAGTTTTGAGGATTTGGGTAATTACTATTTTGCAATTGGTGATGTAAATTTGAGGCATGTTTAATGAGTTAGAGGCAGTTCAGTTGAGCAATTGTCAAGGCAACAAAAGCCGTAGATGTCCTGCACCTAACAAAGTCCTTTTGCTCTGGGAAAAATCTGCCAGAGGTAGTTATGCAACAGGAATACCCCTGCTACAGGAAACTGTTACTTTTTTTAACCCCTTTTTCACAGTCACATATCCTTAACAGATAAGCACTGAAAGGAGGTCAATAACCTGACCAACAGCATGGTTATGATGCCAAAGTCGTAGCAAAAGTCATCGTCCTATACTGGCAGTACTGACATACTTAATTACCACTGATTATGTTCTGTCTTCCTCAGCTAACAGTTTGATTAGATTGATACTTTCTGCTTGCTGCTACTTCCCTGTTCTTCGTTTCCAGCCTTTAGTCCCTTTATGGTGTTAGGTGCAGCGTTCAATCGTTTCTGCACTTGCTTGGACACTGGCACTGTTTTGGTAATAGCAGATCAGTTTGTATTGTGTTATAAAGCACTTTCAGCTCCAGATGAACAAGAAAATTAAAAAATATACTTGTCAGGTCTGTGCCATCGTGTGAAGGTTTTCCAGTATTCACAGGGGTATGGTGTGAGTCAATTTAAATACCCATGTTTAATTAGACCAATCTTTCTGTGTCCCTGGAGGCTGCTCCAAAGCAATCCTGCCATAGTCCCCAGCTTCTCAGTGCTTTATATGCAAACAGTCAGTCAACTGATTGTTCGAAGATTTTAGCAAATGAAAACACGGCACTTCTTGTAGGAGAGGCCAGAAAACAAAGGCAGTGATAAAGAGATAAGAGAGGAAGTTTCCCACTTCAAGAGACAGAAGAGGCTGAACAGGTTGAAGGTCCAGGAGATGCTGCCAGAAGGGAACCGGGGCTGGAGAAGATTTATTTGGCAGGTTTATGAAGTCCCTGTTGCCCCTGCATCCGGCTTCTTCTGATAGATCAGTCCTTCACATACAACAGATGAAATAGCTCCCTAATTTCTGCACACAGGCAGGAAGCAGAAAACTTCTCAGGAAAGTTGAAGGAGTTCCTCTCTGAAGGTGTTGCTGGTTGCAGGAGCAGCACATGAACTCCAGAAGTATCGGGGCCTGTACAGTGAGGGCAGAGTGCAGAATCTGACCTGAAAGAAACAAATTTGTAGCAGCTGGAGCTGACATGCCAGCAATCCTTCCCTTCAGTCTCATGTCCACCCCAAACATCTTTAATTAACTTTAAATTTGCGTTACAGAGCTGTGCAGCTTACCTCAGCTGCTCTCTGCAGGAGACAGAGGAGATATTGCTCGTGGTGCTAAGCAGCATGAGAAAATTGCCCCCCCCCCTTTTTTTTTTTTTTTTTTTTGTAAAACTGCAATTCCCCTACCCACAGGAGGGGAAATGCCCTTGTTCTGCCCTGCGAGAGAGGTGGGAGAAAGCCAGGCTTTCCCAGGGCAGGGGAGTGTGCGGGTGCTGCGGACCTGCTACCTCCCCTCCGTTCCGGTACGCTGCTCTTCAAACACACTTTGCACTTATGGCAGTGGGGCAGTTGGCACAGAGGACAAACGAAACTTCACAGCCTTCCTCGGTAGCAGCTGTTATCACAGTCATGAATGAAACTGTCGCATGGAAAGGTTGAATAATAAGTTTGAGGACGTGTACGGTAAGCCCAGTAAAGCTGGTCGCAGCACTCCTGCATGGGCTTTGATATGTGGTATTTTTAAAACGCTTCGAGTAGTGCTACCACTGGTGGGAGGGCACAGGGTAAGTTTTGTAAAGCAGAAGCCTCAGAATCACGTGGCTGAAATACAACTTGAATACAGGGCTGTAGAAGCAAAACTCCCTTCCTTTGGGGACAATAAATCATGCTGAATTAGTTTTCTATCAATCCCGTCCATCAAAATGCTTATGATAGGCCTGGTTCCTTACCAGAGTCCTCCCCTGTCTCCAGAGGGGTGCCACAGTACGTGTCTGTCCATCCTGTCTGTAGTCCTAGTCTGGCTCAGTTTTGTGACTTTAGTTTCCATTTTCCTCACTGCAGCCCCAGACAACCGCTGCACTTGACCTGAGATACACGGTGTAGTCATGGTAATACAAGTATACTCTGATCAGGATAGACCTGCCAGCAAATGATTAGTACCGCGTTAACTGTACCTCTTCCAAGTGGGGCCATATGTGTTTGAAATGTTTAAAGTTCAGCCCTTGTTCAAGACAGGAGAAAAAAAGGCATTTTAAACACTGTGGAAAAATACCTAATCTCCTTTCTTTGCGCTTGTTGTGTAAATATAAGATAAGAGTTGTATTTCCAAGGTTACTGCAAACAGCCCACCACTACAGAGTACAAACTAACATTTACTAAAATGTATGTTGACATAAAAAGCAGCATTGCTGCAGTCAACCGCAGTAAACAAAACCACCGGTTTCTTTGCCTTTACAAGTCAAAAGTTTGGGATGTAACCTATTCAGACCTGCCCTCACAAAGAGAAATCCCTGCCCTGCTATAGCATCCTCAGTATGTGCACAGTTGTTCTGGAGCCTTATCCTACCCACTATTTTCTAAATATGGTACAGAAAGGCAGATGGAGGTCACCCTGGTTTCATCTGCAGGTTTCACCA